AATATGGGCTCCGGTTGGCTCAGGAGGTAATCGAAGTCGTCCAAGAAGTAGAAGGCGTTCATGTGGTCATCCCTTTCGTAGTACTGATACTCGTCACACAGATTCCATTCCTTCAGAAACTTCTTTGACTGAATCGGCGGTGGATTCTGATTGAGTGCCACGGAATAGAACCGGATCTTATCGTCGAGCCCTGCCGTGCAGATGGCGGTCACCTCTTGTGCGATGGACAGGGAGACAATAGGCCTCTCGTGGGCCTTCTCTATCAGCTGATACCCGGTGTTGGAGGCCTTCAGTTTCGACACCTCGACGACCACCGACTCCTTATACAGACTCTGCAGCAGATCGATGGCAAACAACTCGACCCTATTATCACAGCTCAACGCTAGAGTGAGTCCGGGATCGCCTTCCACTACGAGATCGTCTTCGTCGCTGGGAATGTATGGACACCACGAGAGTCGCACCAAATCGTGTTTACTGCCGTCGTTGACGATCTCCAAGATCTGGTGCGCCTGTATGTCGCCGCTCTCCTCCTTCAGGCTATAGATGTAGACATTCCCGCCCCTATCAGCGACGGCCAGTTTACTCACATCCAGACTACTCGATGAGATCGAGTTTATGGCGAACGAGAGGTCGGCTATTGGCTGATGAAAGACACCCTTCGCCAGACACCGGCCCCTCGTCTCGTAATTCATTATACGTATCATTTGGTTCACAGCGGAGTCGCTGACCGACACATTGGGCTGTCGCGAGGTCTGCGGCCGCGAAAACCGACTGATCACATACGCGATGAACGGCTTCCGGTTGGACACCGCCAGCCAATTGCAGTTCGGACTCAAATCCCAGTTAAAGTCGACCAATCGCTCCACTTTCGTGAAGTACGAGTTGGTGGACGTGTGGCCCTCGATGGCCACCCGGACGGCCATCACGTCGAACAGGCATTCCGTGGAAGTGGTGTCCACTTTGATGGTGCAGTTGTTGGCGAGACTGTGGCGCCGGACAGTCATGTTGTTAGCGATGTTCGTGTGAGTGGTGTTCAAGTCGTTCAGCTGATTTGCGGCCATTTGCGGCCCATTGGATGCGCTCATTATCCCACCAAACGATGTCAGATTCAGTAGCTCTTTGAGTTGACTCGTGGCTGACATTCTTCCGGGTCTATCAACACCAAAATCTAACCGCTAATCGCAATGATAATGCATTCAATCAATTCATGTGCGGTCGCAGTGGCGTTGACAGCCTGTCTATCACTTACCACGTGGTCTCCGCGGCTCTTGGACTGGTCTCGATGTGTGTCTTGGGACGAGAAACTGATTTAATGTCACAATTGATTCACTGATCTTCAGCTAAAAGTCGAGTCTTTTTTGTCATTCAATGAGAGGTTTTCCACTCAATTGGCAATCGTGTGAAATGCACGCGTTTTGAGTCATTCACACCCAGTGTTACCCATATTACTGCTCATATGAATCCCTACACATAAGTCTATGTGTAACTCATCGGCTGCACCCCTACACCTGCTGCCCCCCTTCACACCCTATTCGCTGATACGGTGTGTAAAATAATATGAATCAACGCATTGCTGCCCATCACCAGAGGTCGCGATGCTGTGAATCAATAATAAAAGTGATTCACAATTGGATTAATGCTTACATTTTAAGTCTAATCGGCATTTAAGAGGCATTTTTGGCGATTATCCGTGCGATTAAAGTAAGTATTATATAAAATGCTTAATTAATTGCTTAATTATTCATCAAAAGTCCAGTTTATAGTGAATGGGGGAGCGGGGGAGTGGCTTACGAGGGGATGGGTTTTCAAAGTGTTTTCATTTCATTTCTGTTGGGCTTTCAGTGCAAGAAGTGATTCAATGACTGCTTGAATGCAACAGTAAACCAACGATTTGTTTGTCATTTTTGAGTCACATTAACAGTAATTGGCAGTGATTTGGACGAAAAGGTGAGATAATCCATGATATGATAGCAAAGACTTATAGATAATAAGTGTCCGAAACGCGAGTGAAGAGCAAACATGAGGGCAAACGAGACGTAAAGACAGCTCTTCTGACCACAAAAACAATGATTTTGTTTCTGAAGATACGGCGAAAATTGCGATTTGTTTTGTTTACGGCTTTAATTGTTTTGGTTTTGTATCTCATAATACATTCGCTGGTGTCGGCCATCAATGGGTCCACCGGTGGGGCATACGACCGGCAAGTGGTGTGTGAAGTGCCGCCCGAAACCCGCATCAAAATGAGCGAAACGCTGGACGTGTTGGTGAAGGAAGTGTTGCAGACATTAGATATCACGTACTTCTTGTGCTACGACTCCCTGTGGGGGTCACTGGCCGTGAAGGGGCCGCTCCGGTGGCACCAAACCATTGACGTGTGTCTACTCAACGAAGAGCTGGTCCGACACGAGGAGGCGTCGCTCATACGGGCCTTCAAACGGCACGGCCTGACGCTGACCTACCAGTCCTCCGACGGCGTATACCTCGTGTCGCCCAACGGTTCCCGCAAACCAATAGTCAGACTGTATTTGTTTGAGGAGACGAACGGTAATTACCGTCGCGTCGGGTGGAAGAACCGGTTGATACCGCCAGACAATTGCGATCTCATCCACTGTTTCCCCACAAGACTTATCGCCAAACCCATGCCCACAGAGGTGTTTATGTCGTTGAGGCTACCGGTGCCTCACGAGGGCATCGAAATACAGAAGTACTTGTTTCCCGACAACTGGTGGTTAGACACTGAGCCTGAAGAGTGCAAATGACAGCTTGAACCAAAGCCACAACTATTTTAATGACATTTCATGTGTTTTTTCTGACAAATATAACAAATCTTATTATAATATATTTTAAATGTATTTAATCTAATCATTCAAATAGTCATATATTTATAAAAAGAATAAGTTTTTAAGTTTTAAGTGATTTTGTAATAATTTTGTCTATTTTTTGTTATTTCTTTTTTCTACATATAGAGTGTGTTTTTGATTGTCATTCAGTAACTGATTTGAATTGTAATAAATGGCACAAAATATTGATCCCTTTCCGGCGGTGCCTTCGAGTCTTAAGCCATTGCAGACATTTATGCGAATCGCTTCAGACCTCGAGAAAACGGACCCAACGTTAGGCTATTGGTTGCGATTTTGTTGCGTTCAGAATGGCCTCAAAATTGACGCTAAATCTCCAGAAGCGGTGAAATTTCTCACGAGTTTAATGGGTTGGTTGGAAAAGGCATGTAATCACAAGACAGGATAGCATTGATAGCGATCACTGACCCAATTGTTTCATTTGCTGCGAAATTAGGAAAAGAAGTTAAGACACGATAACGAAGCGGTCACTAATGAGATGGTAGGTCAGGCGCACGTCGAGAACTACGCCCTAAACATGTTTAACAAAGCAGATAATGATGATCGCGAAGGTCGCGCCTCTAAGTAATGAGACAATCAATGGATTTGTGATTGAGATTTTGATGCAATTTATTGTTTTATGTGCTCAGGAACACTTCACGTCTATTCCTAATCGCTTCCCATCTGTTTGAAGTGCTGTCTGTGTTCGGGGAAATACCCGAAGATATTGCTCGACGAGTCAAATACGCTAAATGGAAGGCTATTTACATCAGTAGGTGTCTGAAGAATGGAGAGACACCAGTGCCCGGACCTGTCGCTGGAACCGATGCCGAAGATTTCGACTTTGGTTTACCAAACGTGCCGTCGGCTTCTAATCATAATACGACTGACATTGTTGGAGACAATCCGGAACCACAGGTGCCGAGTGTGGGCTCTACCAGTGCTCCCGCTAATCAGCCATCCGTTCGGACCAGTTATACATCGGATCGCCACCCGATCGCCGCCACTCTTACGGCAATGAGTAATACATTTGTTTTATTTATGAAAATATAGATTTATTCATAACATTAAACTTAACAACAATTTTAAAATCCATTAACAGATGGGATGTCTTTGAGTTCCGAAGAGATACTAACGGCGCAAAAGTATTGCAAATTTGCTGGAAGTGCTCTTCAATACGAAGACATACCGACGGCGATCACTGAATTACAGAAGGCGTTGTCTTTACTCACCACTGGAAAGGAGTGTTAAATTTTCACAACATTTCCAAATATTTACTTTCATTTTAAATATGTTTTTATGACTTATAAGTTATAACTAATCGTACGATGAATGAAATGTTTGGTTTATATCACTTATAATTTGTATAAAAATTAACGAAAGAGTCCTTAAGTCTGATCCGATCAGCGAATGAGTGGTTCGCTTTCGGAACTTCCCAAATGATAAGACGATAACCTTTTCTCTAGTGATTATAATAAGAGTTTTTTTAAACAGAGTGTCAATTGCTGTCAATTGTTTTGTCTTACGTTTCATTAAAGTTTTACTTTTATCCACACAAAAGAGTCTTCCGGTTAAGTATAGAATAAGCGGCAAAACAGCGACTGATATGACGACCAAACCTAAGTAGAGACCCGACTTGAAATCTGTGGGACAGTCGAGGGTTTCGCTCCAATGCTTCCGAATGTCTTTCATCTGATATGAAGACAATTTTTAAGCGGCAAAACAGCGACTGATATGACGACCAAACCTAAGTAGAGACCCGACTTGAAATCAGTGGGACAGTCGAGGGTTTCGCTCCAATGCTTCCGAATGTCTTTCATCTGATATGAAGACAATTTATCGCACAATGCGTTTGAATCAATCGGATTGTCTGCTCATACATACCGATGCGATGATATCATTGCACACACCGTCTGAGTAGTTATTTGCCATCAAATCGTAGTAATCGTTGACAGTTTGAAACGATTCCTTACATTCAACACAAGAGTCATTGTGTGCGAAGGATCCGTTCAGACATAGCATATGGTCTTCAGTTAATTGGAAGTAGTATTGAGTGTCGTTATGAACGACCAGATTCTGGTACTCGTCTTTACCACCGAAACAGTCTTAAGAATCAAATGAATTGTTTGTTCAAAGATTTTGTATTAAGAAGTGATAAGAATTTTATATAAAGTTATTCATCGCTTACTATCGCAGTTGCCATCAGTCCACTGATATATACCACTGCTGTAGAGGCTGTGAATCAGATTGAGTTTGTCTTTGTTGATGAAGCCGTCGGAACAGTTACTAACGGACCCATTGGTGAGGTCCTCGTGAGCGCTGATCAGATCCGTGTACTGTTGAGGACAACCCAAACAAATATTGCCCGGAATCTCGTTAATGAGAATACATTTGATGAACTCAAACAGTATTAGACCGAAGTAGGAGACCATGTATTGGCACTGATAGGTGGGCGCCTCCCTGTGCGAGGGGTCGCCGAAGTATTGTCTCAATTGTCTCACACTCTCTTCCATGGCATAAGTGCTGGTGTTTTGTGTGAAACTTCTTGTGTGAATAGTTCTTGAGTTTAATTTCGATGACATATCGCCAGATATGCCGGCAGTGAGTGCACTGTACTCTTGCGGCAGTTTCTCGGCTAAAGTCACTCGCGATTCAGTTAAATGTCTTAAGTTCATCACCACTAATAACACAATTATCACGTGTGTAGACATCTCTTATTCTGTGATTACTATAAACGATATCAGTGTTTAAAATTAGAGTAGATAATATGTGACCAGGGTTAATGTAAAGTATAGAATTCATAGAAATTGTCATAACCTAACCTAACACAGTGTGACTTATAGACAGTAATGTTAATGCAATTGAATGCGATTTCTAACCTCAATATCATTCACACCTATCATCTATGTCTGCAATTTTTGCACCAACTTCTTGTGAACTAAGCTTCACAATTAACTTGGTCACACATTTCTATTAACCCGGATACATTGTTTATAGGAAATTGTAAAACTTTTAAAAGTCAAACTTTCAAAGAGACCATTCATGCGATCTGAGACACAAAATACAAATTGATATATAGTTTGAATTGTGAGGCAAAAGACAATGTGTTGAGTGAGTGAGTGATCGCTGCTATTGTTATAACAAAACCACTCAATACTCCATACAATTCATGACAACATTTAGTCTAATCTCTCGCATCAAAGGCTTACTGTTATTCACCGCTATTTTTAGGCACATTTCACACACTTATCTATATATTATGGACACAATTGTGTTGTCAACACAAAACACATTGTATTGAAAAATCACATGAATTGCAAGCAAACATGAATATATCAATAGATTTAACATTTAAATGGCAAAACTCATGATTAAAAAAAGCCATAAATCAATAAACAATTATTACGAAATGCATTACGCAATACATGACAGTGAGGGGTGTATGGGTTGAGTGGGCGACGCCCCCACACACTCACCACTTATTCACCGAAAGTAACACTTTATGGTTAAATCAAGCCCATCGATACGTATCTCAAGATACATTTAGACAGTAATTGAGCAAGGTGTAGCTAATCAAACGCATACTTAATCGCATCGACCATACAATTAGCGTAATAAAGGGGCGGTTGTGCTAAACGATTGCAATGAAGTATAACGTTATATACGAGTGGAGTGCGAATGCAGTGCCAAATGCAGTGCAGTGTTGTGTTTGTGACTCAAAAGCGTTGTTTGACAGCAAAGTGACGGACATTGAGACTGATATAGCAATCAATAGCCCCTTAAAACCGGTCTATAGATCGCATCCAACCTCTCAATCAAGTCGTGACCGTTTGGACACTGAATCTCCACTGACTGTCACTCACAGCACTTCCAACCCCATTGTCGCCCGACTAAGATATGTCTCTCTAGTGAGTCACTCATTCACAACAACCATCGCAAGCCATGGATTCAATCGAAGCGAAAGTGAAACGATTACTGAATGGCGAGACCGTGGATGAGGACATCGACGGACCCATTGATTGTGACTACACTCTCGAGCATCAGATCAAGGAATTGGGTATTGATTTCATGTCATTGATTGTCATTCGCTGGTGGGATCTGTTGGCAAACAACACGACCACTTGGTATGTGTTTTGTGGTTAACAACAGTTGTCTTTACCTCTTAAGCGTCCAAAGGAGTGGAGACGTCGTTGTCGCAGGACTTCCGGCCAATCGTGGGCCAGACGGTGACGTACATCGCGGCGGCCGTTGTGTTCAACGACGCGGATGAGGTGCTGATGATGCAGGAGGCGAAGAGTCGGTACGCCGGCCAATGGTATCTGCCGGCCGGTCGGGTCGACCCCAACGAGCAGATCATAGACGCCGTGAAGAGGGAAGTGCTCGAAGAGACGGGCCTTCTGTTCGAGCCGTTGACACTCATACTCGTGGAGTCGAGTCAAGCGAATTGGTTTCGCTTCACATACACCGGGCGTATAGTCGGCGGCCAACTGAAGACTGTGGCGCAGGCGGACAGCGAGTCTCTGCAGGCCTGTTGGGTGTCAGACATCGGCTCATTGAGTCTCAGGTCTGCCGACTGTTTGCGTTTAATAGACTTCGGGCGACAATACCGCGAGAATCGCGAGGTTTGGCACAAATCGCAGTTCACAGCCATTCGACCGCACCATCAGATGCTCTTAAGGCTGGTCTGCGCCGTCAGGAGGAAAGAGAAGTGAGTCATCGCTTCGCAAACCCATTGCTCTTATGTTTGGCTAACTTTTGTTGCAATCTTTCGGCGATAATAGCAATCGATTCCATGTGTTGGTGTCGGAGAAGCCGTCGCCGCATCTGCCGGTCTGTGAACTAAACCCGTCGCGCAGTCTTCACGCGGCTCTCAAGCGCTTTATGCAGGTCTGGCCGCTGACAGCCCCCACACCTTATATTCCAGTGATTTATATGTGTGTCTAAACGTGTTTATAGAGTATATTCAGCGCCGAGAAACTGCCGGAGCACCGACCCTTCGGCGTGTTGTCTGTGGAGCACAACGGCATTCCCGGCAAAGAACACGATGGTCTGTGTCTCACTGTATTAGTCGTATGCAAAGTGCCATTGGAAGAGTCGGTTCCCACACAGGAGTACACTTGGCTTCAGGTGGAGCCCGAGCTCGAGGGCCTACTCATGAGTAAACTCGCGAAATACAAGACTCTCTTCTTAAATGTAATTTGAATGTCAGCTAAACATTGCATTTCATTCATTAAGAATACATTCGGAATAACATACCGTTCTTATAGGAAACACCAATTCAGTACACTATTTGTAAAAACAAATGTTTATTTTAATATTTCATACGATATTATCTATGATTTTCTATGATTTCATTACAATGCATGACAGTTAGTATTGTTTTATGACATGAAGCTCCGGTGATTACAAATTTTTTTGTTACAAATTATCTGATTTATAGCTCAAACACTACTTAATAAGTATTTAAAACTACAATTGATATGAAGATTAATCTTTAATTTATTGTATTTAATACACGCTTTAAGTCAATCTTATTTTTATGAATATTTTGAATTAAATATTTATTAATTTTTTCGAAAACTAAGTTAATAAATAAGTTATTAAACAGTTAAAACAATGTATTGTATTGAAATTAAAATTTTAGAATCTCAACATATTATTATCCTTAGCGCTGAAATGCACTCAAATTCAGTATATAAGTCCATTCAAAATTAAAAAACGGTTATATTTAAGGCAACCACTAATCAATTAAACCACAAATTATCGTTAATTATCACAATTTAAGATATGGATCAAATGTTTGAGACAATAGAGGTGGACCTGGATGCCAAAGAACTGATACATAAGTATTCTCAGCCTCCGGTCTTTGTCCCGCAATTCACTGCAGGACTGGACCCACAGTTAAAGGCATTAATCACAGAAGTGGTGATCCAGTCGTTCGCCGCCTTTACCACCGAAGAAGACATCAAACGAGCACATGGAAGCCATGTTCCCCAATGGCATCGAATGGACAGTTGATCTTACGGACAGTATGCGCATCAAATACATGGCACTCAAGCGGTCAAACGCTGTGGTCGTATACAAGGGCTACTGTGTCCTCTTATACCGGTCACCATATATTGATCTCAAGTCTGTGGCGCGAAGAAATATCCGTTATTTGATGAAACGCCACGAAAAATAATTATTTCTCTTAATTTTGTCTTATATTTTAAATAAATTAATAAAAACGAAATTATGGTTTGATTTATTGTAATAAAATTGATGCATATTTTGGTTGAATATCTGTTTTGGCACAAAGTTGTCGATGAACTCAACAGTGAATGTCTAATCAGTTTGTATAATAGTATTCACAGAAGTCTTATCTGATATGCAATCCAAGTCCACAGGACTACCGACTAATTGATTGTTTTGAAGCCCTATGTGTTTCCAGAATTGTGTTGCGATAAGAGTTTTGGTTTACTTTACACTCGTATTTAAGTCTTAAATATTTGATTCATTTTGTGAATCGGAGTTTGCATTATAATCCATTAAAACATTTGGTTTTTTCTCATTAATATATATAGTATTTGAAGTTTTGTAATAGTCTACTTTTACCTTAACATACAGTATAGAAACCATAGAAAAAGTTCTACAGTAATACTATTTGAATCTAAAATATCACTTAAATTCATGTTTTGTGTTCAATACACTTAAACTTTATAACATTATTTTATTTTTAAACAAAAAAGGTAATTACAAAATTAATTACAAATTTATTATATATTATCGTTTATCTCATCAAATCTTTTAAATCAAAACAGAATTGAAAACAAAAGTTTAAATGTTATTTGAAATGCATTTGTTGTGCAAATAAGTGGTTCAACTGGTTCTGCACTGAAGGCCCACTTGATCCGTGTCATCGTCCTCGGGCTCAAACACATTGGGCACTCGATATCCCATATTTGCTAACATCACTTCCAACGGATCCGTATTCATACGCTTCTGGTTAGCCATCGCCGCGTCCTCAGAGTTCTCCACTTCTCTCTCATCTTTTTGGCCATCCTTTACATACAGACAATCGATTCAATGCTTATTCTAAGTCTCGCTTACAATCCATTCATACCTCAGGCCGTGGACTCCACAGTCTCACCACTGGGTCGATACCACTGGTGGCCAACAGACACGAACTGGGGTGGGGTTGAAGGCAATTGACTATCGAGTCATCACCTCTCATAACCCGAACAATGTTTGTCGTGTGTCTGTCCCACACGAAAAAGGAGCCGTCGTCTGAACCGGCGATTATATACTGTCCGTCACTGGGGAGGGAAGGCGTAAGCAAAGGGTCATTCAATCAATCAATTGATTTAATTATAAGTCATTGAAAGCAATAGAAACCTTCCGAAAAAGTTGGCCTCTTTTATATCAGTAGTTGTATTACAATGACCACAGAATCGCTTCTTGTAGTCGTATGACAGAGATCTCCACTCCTTCTCCTGATTATTCACTGCGTTAGACATATTGAAGGCCATGTCTAAGCCGTTACCATCACTCGACACATGACTACTTTTATCCGACTTCGTATTAATCGCTTTCTGAATATCTTTATTCAGCGAATTCGAGAAATCATTAGTCGATTGGTCGGGAAATTTAGTCTTAAAAGACTCGAAACAATCGGACGCTTCTCTATACCACTCCAAAGACAACATACACCTGACAAGTCTGTAGTGAGCTTTCAGATAGTCGGCGTCGATATTGAGGGCTGAGTAGCAGTCTCTGAGCGCTGCATACATATCCCCGTCCCAATTACGGCGCATGTATGCCATGGCTCTGTTACCGTAGAGTACGGCCGCTCGCGGACATAACGCGATGGCTGTGTTGTATAGATTGATGGCTAACTTGAAGTCATTCCTCTCGAATAAGTCGTTGGCTTTCACTTTGATTTTGTCGACAATAGAAGGCAATGGAGTGTTGAATGAATAGACTTTCTTATAAAACTTAGCGCTTTTCGGTATTAAGTCTATCGACGAGCAGCCGTTCACACAGAAGCCATTGTTGCCCGAAGTATTTGAAGCGCACTCCTTGTGGTAACCATTTTTGTGCGTCGAGTCCGTTGTCTCGTAAAACTTGGGCTTTGATGGCTTAAACACATCAAACAAATAGATTTGTTCCGAACCTAAGTTTGACAGCAACTCATTTCCGTCGGGACTGAAGGACAGGTAGGTCGAGGCGTAGGCGCGGTACCTCTTCTTATCGCGACGCCTCAGTAAGTGTCCAGCAATAAAATATTTGACACAACCGGCCGGTAAGTGTTTAGCAACTCATTTCCGTCGGGACTGAAGGACAGGTAGGTCGAGGCGTAGGCGCGGTACCTCTTCTTATCGCGACGCCTCAGTAAGTGTCCGGCAATAAAATATTTGACACAACCGGCCGGTAAGTGTTGGTTAGTGTTGTCCCTGTCATCACTGGCAGTCGTACTCGCAGTGGTAGTCGTGTAATGCCTGTCCCACGAGTAACGAGGCGTCGAATCGTTGCGACTCTAAGGGGATGGCATATAAATGGCAAATCAAAACCTCTAATCAAAACACTGACAAATCAAATGATTACTTGAATGGACTGCAGAGAAATCATTCGCCTGTCGTATAGCCTAACAAAGGGGTCGTTAGCGCCGACTGCTATAAGCTCTGGTCTCATAGGGTTGACTGCAATGCACTTAACCTCAGCGTTGGGTCCGTTATAATCCATTAAATTGATTAACACATTGTTGGACACCGAAGAGCACCGGTGTCTCTCGCGTAAGTCATACTGAAGAACCAGCCCATCCTCAGCCGCTGACCAGAACATGTGGGGCACGTCTGGGGCCACTGCCAGGCGCTTAACTCGACCCAAATGGCAACAGCAGACCAGTATCGTCTCGGATCCAGTCATGTCATGCACTTTGACTCGACAGTCGGCCGCACCCGAGCAGACGATGTTGTCGTTGGTTTTGGGAACAAATTTGACCGAAAATATGTTCCCCTGATGTCCGCTCTGAAGGCTGTGGACACGACGGTGACGGAACGGATCCCATATGATTATCTGCACGTCATCGGAACCGCTGGCCAATAGACTGCATGGATGGGGAGCTAATCAATCAGTGGATCAATTTAGGTGACAATATACATACGTTCCTCTTTGGTTCCAATCGAGACAATTCACGCAACCGGAGTGACCCTAAGATGCGACAAATGGGTGGTCAATGGTAGCGATAATCACTGGACATGTCAATCACTTCATGGCATACCTCGAGCTCAGCTTCAAGACCTAATCGTCTGATGAGACTGTCGTTGATTTGCATCTTTCGCTCAAACTTGAGGCCATTCTTGTGGTCATATTCTCTCATTCGCTTCCAATGAATCAAATTGTTTGAATCCATGGCTCTAATCGGTTGATACTATGATCGCAATGGTCTCAAAGGTAATGTCAGTTATTAGTGAAACATATTTTTGGCAATAAATTGCATTTCAATTGAGATCTCAATTATGAATTGTCTCCAAATGTTGACAAATGTCAATGTTTTCATATATCTGTCAAAACAAATGTATCACTTCTTAGACACCAATTAATCGATGAGCGAGTCTTCGTGTCATTCACTGTCTTAAGCCATTCACCGCTCAAACCATCAAAAACTTTAATTCAATCCAATTGTACGCGAATTGAATGCAAACACTAATTGTGATTACATTTGCATTTCAATGATTAATGCATTTATTTACTAAAAATAAGTTTTTTAAATCAAAACAAGCGATCAATAAATAATGTGGTAATCATTGAATCGATTTAAACTATTGATATAACTATTAAAATAGCAAAACATGTTTTAATACCAACTCAATGCAGTTTTACATAAAAAGTTTTTAATAATTAAATTTCTAATAAACTTGAATTAATATCTAAATTAAATATGTTTAATAATAAAAATTTGCATTAACTGTCAGTTTATGGCAACGTTATGTATATGTGAGACATAAATGCATTGAAAAAGCCTTCAATGAAAGACATCAACAAAAACATTAAAAAATCATTTCATTCAATGAAAGTGTAAACAAAATTCACATTTCAATGTTGAGTACAATTAAAAGTCATTCATCTATTTATTTATCAATTAACCATTAATTTCATACAAATTAGTCACTACTGATGTGCTTATGAGTGCAGTATATGTACGAAAAAATTAATTATATACTAAAAACGCTATAATAATTGTGATTACATTTAGCTGTTTATAATGTGCTTATAATAATTGCAATCAAACTTTGAAACTAATCTAACATTTCATGTGTTAATTAAGTGACAAAAGTATTGCAATCTATCAGCTAATCGTTTGTCTAATAGTGATAATATTGATTACAAACATGAGTTGACGTGCGGGAAACCATGGGATGTGTTTCGGGTGACGCTATCCATCGGTGGTGAACACGAGTGGTATCGACGCGATGTTGCCGAAGAAGATGAGGAGACGCCAGTTGTTGCAGTTGTGGTCACTGGTGTTGTTGTGCTCAATACCGATGTCTCTCTACATCTATACCCAACTGCGGGACAGGACTCACTCGAAGCACTTCTTAGGCTTCACCGACCGAGAGGCCAAACTCGCCGAACGCGTTAAAGAAGTGGAACAACAGAACCAGTTCTTGAGGCGACAGCTGAGTATCTCGAGGGAGAAGTTGGTCTCAATTATGTCCGATAATCAAAACGACGCGAACAACAAGAATAGCGACAAATCGGATGAGACTGTGCGACAAAATCAAGTGTTAGCCAATGGCAACGATAATGATAATGTGATTTCACAGCCATTATCAGTGAACTCGGAGACAAATTCGGTGCTCAACGCGACCACCGATTGCCATAATCGGCACAAAGATATAGTTCCCAAGTGTGAGGTGATTGAAATAGTGATTGTATGCGCCGGTTATAACTCATCGAGAAGTGTGGTAACACTCATCAAATCGATACTGTTTTACCGCAAGAATCCCCTTCACTTCCACTTCATTAGCGACTCAATCGCACAACTGATCCTTCAGACACTGTTCAAGACGTGGTCAGTCCCGGGACTGGCGTTTAATTTCTATTTAGCGGATAATCTCCAGTCAGACGTGTCGTGGGTTCCCAACAAACACTACTCCGGGGTCTATGGGCTCATGAAACTGGTGTTACCCAAAGCCCTTCCCCAGACTTTAGACAAAGTGATTGTGTTGGACACCGACATCACGTTCGCCACGGATATCGCCGAACTCTGGAACATGTTCTCGAAGATGACCAAAGAGTCCATAGCTTTAGTCGAGAATCAGAGCGATTGGTATTTGGGAAAACTCTGGAAGAATCACAGGCCGTGGCCAGCATTGGGCCGCGGATTCAACACCGGAGTCATTTTGTTTAGTTTGAAGCGTTTAAGACAATTCAATTGGTCTGTGGTGTGGAAGATGGTGGCAGAGAAGGAGTTGATGTCTATGCTGTCGACTTCATTGGCCGATCAGGACATCTTCAACGCCGTCATCAAACAGTACCCGTTCCTCGTATACCGTCTGCCGTGTCAGTGGAACGTACAGCTCAGCGACAACACCCTCTCAGACGCCTTGTGTTACACAGAAGTGCAGGACTTGAAGATAATTCACTGGAATTCGCCGAAGAAGTTGAAAGTGAAGAACAAACACTTGGAGTTCTTTCGCAATCTGTACCTAACGTTCCTCGAGTACGACGGAAACCTCTTGAGACGCGAACTCATCGGTTGTAATAATAGCAAAGAGAACGCCATATACTCGGAGTCCACGAGTCTTATCAACCAATTAGATGAAGACGATCCGTGCTATGAGTTCCGGCGCTCGCGAGTCACTCAACACAGGACTCACTTGTATTACATTGAATACGATTACGAGCCGTCGCCAGAAGGGAATGATGTGACACTTGTGGCTCAGTTATCAATGGATAGGCTGCAGATGGTAGAAGCTTTATGCCAGCATTGGGAGGGCCCCATATCACTGGCCATGTATATGTCCGACTCTGAGGTCCAACAGTTCTTAGGCTACGCACAGACATCAGAAATACTACGCGAACGCAAGAACATAGGCTATCATATAGTCTATAGGGACGGACCCTTCTATCCCATCAATCACCTGAGGAATGTTGCCCTCCAACAGGTGACCACACCTTTCGTATTCCTAACTGATGTCGATTTCCTGCCAATGTTTGGTCTCTACGAGTATTTGAAGCGCTCGGTGGCTGCCATGGGCTTGGAATCGGCGTCGAAGAAGGCGCTGGTAGTGCCCGCCTTTGAGACGCAACGCTATCGCATATCGTTCCCGAAAACCAAAGCCGAGCTCCTGTCGATGTTAGACATGGGAACGCTGTTCACGTTTAGATACCACGTGTGGACCAAAGGGCACGCGCCCACCAATTATGCCAATTGGAGGACAGCGACCACTCCTTATCGGATTACATGGGAACAGGACTTTGAGCCGTATATTGTGGTTAAGAGAGATATACCTGAATATGACTCGCGGTTTGTGGGCTTCGGTTGGAATAAAGTGTCGCATATTATGGAACTCTATGCCCAGGGCTTCGAGTTAATAGTGTTGCCGAACGCCTTCATAGTCCATATGCCACACGCGCCCAGCTTTGACATCGCGAAGTACAGGTCCAGCTCTTCGTACCGGAAGTGCTTAAAGATATTGAAAGTAGAGTTTGTGAAGGACTTGAATAAGAGGTACGGCCGACAGTTCACAGCCTCCGAGACGTTCAAACATTGAGCCACTCTTTTGGGAGTTTGTGTTTTTGTTGGACTCAATGGGGGTTTAGCTACGAATCAAACCATTAAATTATTCTCATTTATAATTGAGTGCCTATTCATTGAATGTGTGAATTGTTTGATGAACTTATTTATCAAATCATTGATTTTTAAAATCATTTTTTATAGTCTATGTATAAAAATTGTTTGGATCATAGAATCCAATCGTATGTAATAATTGACTTAATTTTAATTATCGTATATTTCAATCATCGCTTGTTTTTTGTATTTAATTTAAATCATAATTAAAATATTATATACAATTTATTTGCGTGTCTTTTATTTGAAATACTCTCTTAAAACAGTAGTCATTTGAATTGAATTTATTGAAATTTTGAGTTTTATATAATATTAGCAAATTCACAATTATTAAACAGTAATTATTAAAAGTAAAATCATACAGAATTTAACATGATAATTGCAATAAACACGGAATACACTGATGAGCCCCCGCATTCATACTTTAGTGCATTACATATTAAACTTATTTGATGCTATGAATTGAATTGTCAATAATTTTGTCCATTGAAGTAAGAGATGTCCAGAATATGATCGGCATATTGAACGGCATAGAAGTGACCACAAGTCCCCCACAACTGATGGAAATATCGTTGAATAAACTTTACTTAAAACAAACTCATTGTCTTGTAATGACTAATGCATTTGCAAAGTTAAACTTGTACAGTATTGTACAGTACAGTATATTTTCGTATTACCATAAAAAGTTTTTATTTAATATCAAACTTTTATTTTGAATAAATTTGTCACTTTAATTACGGTACAAATATTAATAAAATTATAAATGATTATAAAATACAATTTCATATAAATAATAAAAACACAATTAAAACGATATGATACGAGATGTTTATTCCCTGAGTTTCATTTGTCATCTTCTGGTTCATAGGCCAGTATAGGACTCAACCATTTCTCTACCGTTTCCACTGACTGTGCCTTTCGTTTGGCATAATCGCAGACCTGATCCGACTGTACTTTGCCGACAGCGAAGTAATAGGACATCGGGTGAGCGAAGTATAGGCCACACGTGGACGCGGCCGGCATTATGGCCAGCGATTCGGTTAACCGAATGCCCGTTTGCTTCTCCACATCCATGAGCTCCCAAATCGTGAGCTTCTCGGTGTGGTCGGGTTGGCTCGGGTATCCCGGCGCCGGTCTTATGCCGTCGTATTTGACTTTAAGTAAATCGTTTGCATCCAACTGTTCCTCACGACTATATCCCCACAACTCTTTGCGCACTCTTTCGTGGAGCTCTTCAGCGAACGCCTCAGCGAATCGATCGGCGATTGCTTTCGTCATAATGTCTTTGTAGTCGTCGTGTTCTCTCTTAAACCGGTCGCACATCTCTTGGCAGCCGAAGCCGGCGCTCACCACAAACAGACCCATATAGTCGGTGACACCACTCTTGATCGGCGCTACGAAATCGGCGAGCGATAGGTAGGGAGAGTCGTCGTGCGAGTCCTTCTCGGCCTGTTGTCTCAGACCGTGGAAAGTGGCCACAGGTTTGCCGTTTTCATCCATTAATTGGATCACATCGTCACTAATAGTGTTGGCCTTATAGAAGCCAATGATTCCGGTCGCTGTCAACAGTTTCTGGTCTATTATCTCATCAATTAGTTTGAGCGCCTCGTCGTACACTCTCTTAGCTTCAGCGCCAACTATAAGAGACATAATATTCATGTGAATTGTGTACACAACTAATGATATCTGAAGACAAACCTGTTTCGTCGTTAAAGAGTTTGGGAAATCCACGGTTTGGATACTTTCCTCTCAATTGCCAGACGTCGAAGAATGGCTTCCAATCGATATAATGGACTAATTTTCTCAGATCATACTCTTTGAACACTTTTGTGCCCACAAATGTCGGCGCTTTAATGTCTGATTTAGTGAAATCGATGCACAACTTCTTCTTACGAGCCTTTTCTATGGAGAGGTAAGATCTGTCTCTGAGTGATTCGTAATGGTCTTCACGCATCAAATCGTAATCATCGTTCAGGTCCTCCAAGAAGTCTTCCCTCAACTTCTTATCCAAAAGACGGGAACAGACGACAACACTCTTGGAGGCGTCCAACACATGAACAGTGGGTTCCGTATAACGAGGCGCTATCTTAACGGCCGTATGTTTCTTAGAAGTGGTCGCACCTCCTATCAGAAGCGGAATCTTCAATCCCTGCCTCTGGAGCTCTTTGGCCACAAAAATCATTTCGTCGAGGGATGGGGTGATGAGACCACTAAGACCTATGAGGTCAGCGTTTTCTTGAATCGCCGTTTCGATGATCCGATCGCAGGGCGTCATAACACCCAAATCGATCACTTTATAGTTATTACAGCCCAACACTACTCCCACTATATTCTTGCCGATGTCGTGCACATCACCCTTGACTGTGGCTAACACTATAACGCCGGCGTGACTCTGACCTACACCTCCCGACTCCAACTTCTCCTTCTCCATGAAGGGAATCAAATGCGCGACAGCTTTCTTCATAACTCGCGCCGATTTGATCACTTGCGGCAAAAACATCTTTCCCTCACCGAACAGATCTCCCACAATAGAAATGCCATTCATAAGTGGACCCTCTATTATGTGCAGAGGCCTGGGATAGGCACCTGTATTCTGTCGACATTCTTCCACGTCTTTCTCAATGTGAACATCGATTCCTTTGACGATTGAGTGCGAGAGGCGCTCCTCAACCGCTTGTCGCCTCCAGTCCTCGACTTCTACATCAGATTTGCTGGTCTTGCCGACTGTCTGCGCGTATTCTAAGAGCTTTTCCGTACCGTTAGGATCGCGGTTCCAGATGAGATTTTCGCACATTTCCAGCAAATTCTTCTCAATGTCTGTATAGAGTGGCAAACAGCCGGCGTTCACAATACCCATCGTAAGACCAGCTTTGATGGCGTGGTATAAGAACACTGAATGCATGGCTTCTCTGATCTTTTCCATCCCTCTGAATGAAAACGACAGGTTAGACACACCGCCACTCACTTTCGCGCCAATACACGACTCCTTTATCCTTTTGGTGGCGTTTATAAAGTCGATGCCGTACTCGTTGTGCTCATCCATACCCGTTGCGATGGTCAGTATATTTGGATCAAATATAATGTCATTCCTATTGAAGTTAACTCGAGGGCCGACCAGTATATCATAACTCCTGCGGCATATCTTCACTTTAGTCTCCTCATCGGCCGCCTGTCCCGTCTCATCGAAGGCCATCACCACAACTGCCGCTCCGAATCGTTGAATGAGTTTGGCTTTCCTCACAAACTCGTCCTCCCCTTCCTTCAGACTGATTGAGTTGACGATACACTTTCCCTGACAGCACTTCAACCCCGACTCTATGACCGCAAAGTTGGACGAATCGATACAAAGCGGGACTTTGCATATCTCGGGTTCGGTGGCAATCAGATTGAGGAAATGTGTCATCTCTTTCTTGCTGTCCAACATTCCCTCATCCATATTGATGTCCAACACTTGGGCTCCATTTTCCACCTGAGTTTTGGCGATCTCCAGCGCCTGACTATACTTCGCCTGACGTATGAGTCGAGCGAATAGTTTACTGCCGGCGACGTTACACCTCTCGCCTATATTGATGAACAACGAGTCCTTTGTCACCACAAACGGTTCTAAACCAGACAAATAGAACTTCTCCTCCACGTGTGTCTTAACAGGTCTGGGTGTCAGCCCTTTCACAGACTGAGCGAACAGTCTGATATGATCTGGTGTTGTACCACAACAACCGCCCACTATGTTAACCAACCCGTCCTCAGCGAACCGTTTGATGTGTTTATTCATATCTTCGGGCGTCTCGTCGTACTCGCCGAAGACGTTAGGAATTCCCGCGTTTGGATAGCACAGTATGTAATTGTTTTCCGCGAATTTACTCATATTTTCAATGAATACTTTCATCTCTCCCGCGCCCAACGCACAGTTGAGGCCAATAGCTAAGGGCTGGCCGTGAGATATGCTAACAATAAACGCTTCGCCCGTCTGTCCCGATAGGGTTCGACCACTTTTGTCGACTATGGTTCCCGAGACAAAGATTGGGACTTTGAAGTGTGGAAACTCATCAAATATGGAGTGAACGGCAAATAGGGCCGCCTTTGAATTAGCCGTGTCTATGATTGTCTCAATGAGTATCAGATTAACACCGCCTTCCAGTAAACCCATAGTCTGTTCCCTATAAGCCGTCACCAACTCATCCCATGTTATGTTACGAAAGGCTGGGTTCTCGACCTGCGGTGATATCGACAGCGTTTTATTGGTTGGCCCGAGAGAACCGGCCACAAACTTCGACCCCCCGAACTGCTTCTCGTAGTCATCGCAAGCGCGCCGTGCGATTAGCGCCGACTCTTTGTTCAGTCTGTACACCAAATGCTGGCACTCATAGTCGGCCTGTGCGATGGTTGTAGCGCTGAATGTGTTGGTCTCGAGAATATCGGCCCCGGCCTTCAAGTACTCGAAGTGAATGCTGTATATAATGTTAGGTTTCGTGAGCGACAGGATATCGTTGTTGCCTTTAAGAGGCTTCGGGTGAGCCGTGAACTCGTCGCCCCTGTAGTCCGCTTCGCCTAATTTGTGTCTTTGAATCATAGTTCCCATCGCGCCGTCGATTACAAGGATTCTCGACTTTAAGGCATTTATCAAGTCTTCGGTTTTAGACATCTTTGCGATTATTAGTGGTATAACTGTATTAATAATAAAAATATACACAAACACTGGTTACTCAAACTCAAATTCAATTGTATGATGACAAGTGTGTAAAACTTGTTTTAATAACAAATTGACTTAATCATCAAACTTGATTTTCACATGTTAATGAATACATGAGCAATGTTAGAACAAATAAGCCTAATATGTATTTCCAAAAGTAGTGCACAGAATATCATGTGATCGTTGTGTGGATTCTTTGGCTGATAAGGAAACGCTTATTATTCAATCAAAGCTTTTCATCTAATCAGTCGACTATAACTGTCATCCCAAGAGATGAATGTTCACTATTTTGAACGCTATTCATATAACTAAAATCCATTAAATCATGTTTTTTACACATCTGTACTGTTAATCAGCAAAACAACTGGTGATATAAGTGATAAATTTGAAATATTTAGGAAATAAAAAACCGATTTTAGTAAATGTAAACTTAGAACTTTAAAACACTTTGAAACTACAAAGTATTATAAATTTAATATAAAGCAATGAAATGCATGAACAAGTCGGTAGACTGCAATAGTCTATTGTCTTAGAATTTTATTTGAAATCAATTTTTTGAATTTAATTGTAATGTTTTCACTAAAAACTTTTTAGATATATATATTTCATATACAGAATTTAAATGGAAAGTAATGAAACTATGGAATTATAGTATATCCGATTGAACGACACAAACGTGTATTAATTTAGTTGAAAATCATGATACTTTGATATATCGGTATCATACAATGGCATGTCAATAAAACAGGTTAACCCCGAGAGTAATGGTGTGCTATTAGCACTATTAGTTTTAAGTGGGAGTTAAGTGATCCAATTGTATGATCTGACAAATCCAATGCGAAACGTCTATCCCTTCAGTCTCGGACCGTTTGACAAACGGGTGACTCAATAGTGTGTTAAGATCCGCCCTCTCGGCCACGTTTTTATTGAGACATCGGTCGACGAAGTCCTTAAAATCGGCACTAAATACCGATTCGGGAACAGTAGGGGGCGGCTCATTGACGATACAATCCAATAAATCGCAAAATGATAGCCCGTTCCCGTTTCCATCTTTGGGAATGGGATACCTGCCGATCGCCATCTCCACCAATGAAAGCCCTAAACTCCAGATGTCCGACAGAACCGTGTAATCCTTGCCGAGGAGCCTCTCGGGCGCCATATAAGATCTCGTGCCCACAAACGAGTTGGCAATCGAGTTGATGAGCTGACCGCTGACGCCGAAGTCGCATATCTTGATCTCTCCGCTAGTGTTCACCAATATGTTGGACGGCTTCACGTCCCGGTGTATGATCTTATGGTTTTGACGCAAATAGTGGAGTCCGTTCACCACAGCAATGGTCACCTGTCCTAAGATCTCTTCGGGAATACGATTCGCTCGCTTCAGCAGCAGGTCTAGCGAACCGCCGTCCTGTCCGTCGAGACATTTAGATCGTTAGTCAAAAAACTTAGGGCTCCGGACATGGGATCAGGTCGAAGATCGCTTACCATATACTCCATGCATATATTGATCTCTCCGTCCGCGTGGAAGGCGCCGTAATAGCCGACGATATGCGGAGAATTGCATTCGTGAAGGACTTGCAGCTCACGGTTTATCTGACCCATGATTGATGGCTTCACATCCAAATGGATGAGTTTGCGGGCCATCACAGTGCCGGTGACCCGGTGTCTCACTTTGGTCACCACACCGCTGTTGCCGGCACCCAAATCACCCAATTTGTCGAAGTCGTGAGCATTGAGTTCTCCCACTGTTTGCTTCTTCAGGAGGAATACGTTCACCCTTTCCTTTTGCGACTCCTCTACGGATTGGTCGACCATTTTGTGGTCATTGGTTGGCACTGAAGAGTGCGGAAGAGACAGGTTTCGTATGTTTCTTCGCGCCATTCAATTGACATCAACACTGATTTGCGACAATTTGTTTTCAAATTACAAAAACAATTTGTTTGCTGAACAATGAATAGCTGTGAGTAAGTATTGGGTGTAATGGAAGTGATTTTAATCAAGATATCAATTGCCAAGACAATGTCATACTGGATGACTCATGCAATTAAGGAGACATTCAGGCTCATTTATGGCATAAATTTTATGCTAATTAAGGTACCATGTCTATTTTTAATTAAAACGTTTAAAAAGTTGTATACAAAATGCATAAATAGTGATCGCAAACGATTCAGTTTATTATAAACGTAAAATGAAAAGTATGTCCATTTATCGCACTTGGAGTTTAACACCAAAGTTATTACTTTTAATTATTCAATGCCATTGCATATCATATAAATACATTATCACAACTTATTTCCTATTTCCACTTACTGTTAGTCTTAATTGTAATAAACTACACCTACTGTTCATTTTAAACTACCGGTGCTAGTCTATTATAGCCGTATATGACTGTATAGGCAATGCCCAATCACTGTACTGTCATTTTAAACACACATATAAATTAGCACATAAATTCATGTATTCATTAACACACAAGTTTGTATTGAAATGCAATAATTAAATGTAAAACACGTACAAATAGCCAGAAATAGTTAGCATGCTAATAGCATAGATAGCCGTAACTTACCTTGGATCAACTAATAGGTGATACTAACTTATCCAACTGTGATACAACGTGTCATTAATTGTGGTACTATTTCGCACAAACAACTCGTTTATAAATGAAACCAATTTGAAAGTTATAAACTATTCAATTAACTAAACATATGAGACGTTTGAGTGAATGCTTGCCATTCAATGGTTGAATGAATGAAAAAGTTTTTCGCGTAAACACTACCAATCGGTGTCAACACAAACCCATTGCCTGTTATTATGAACTATTGATATAACAATACGTTTGGATAGTCTTAGCGTTCAATCGCTTTAAATACAATCAAATTAAACTCAACTAAAGTGACAATTAGATGACAATGTTGTATGCATTACGCAATCCATGCCATCATATTGTCTTATCATATCATATCAATCATCTATACATAGATAACCACCACATATAGTGTCCCCTAATGTGTGTCATTCACATAGAAATCAATGCTTTCATAGCGTATGAAATGTGGACATAATTTATGCTTACAGTTGAGTCAAGTCTCCAATGTTTACAACAAACTGATTGTTATTTTTGTGATATATTTGCCATAAAAAGACAATTTGTATTATAATTGAGGATTAATTGCGGACTAGATTTGTGGTGAAGGGGTTGCCGAAGACAATGCCATCGATAGGTCAGTGGTTAGGGTTGGATAAGATGGCGCGCGCCGTCGCGATCATCCGACACAACGGAGGTATCATTGGATCCCTGAAGAAGGTCTATAGGTTTGTCATCATATTGTGACCATTGATCTGCTGATCATTTTGATGTCGATGAGTGTATTGAGACACTGAGTCTCCCGAAGAAGTGATGATTAGTTGGTTATACAGTATATGAATGGTATAAACCCACGGATTAGTTAATGATATCTTCACTCATGAGTGGACTCATTTGTGGTCTTAACATCAGACTCGGGAGTGATTTGACCATGATACTTAATTCAATGAATTGATAACTGTTTAATTGAATTACTTATGAATTGAGACCACATTTGATATACAACTCGGAGGTGATATTCATTCATGTAATGAACCATTCAATGATTACTTCTTAAGCAGTCATCGACTTTAACAATCAATTCAATAACCATTGCATTCATCGAAACCATTAACTCATTGCATATCTCATTGCATATCCTGTGTATGCGTACAGAATGGATGAGCTGAAGATCGGGACACTGGTAGGTGCGGACAGGTATGGCAACAAGTACTACGAGAACAACGAGTACTTTCACGGCCGGAACCGATGGGTGGAGTACTCGGACGACGCTTACCTCGATTACGACGCCTCGCAGATACCGGCGGAGTGGCACTCGTGGATGCATTACACGACAGACATACCGCCCACTGTTAAGCCACCGGTGCAGCACAGGTGGATGATAGAGCACACGCCTAACTACACCGGCAGTCACCTCCAGTACGTGCCCTACAGTACCACCAGAGAGAAGGTCCAGAAATGGGATCAAACGGTGCCCCAACTCGAGGCTAAGAAGTAGTATGGTTTTGACAATTAGTAGGGATTCCTGTGTTTAGTGTTTTAATTGTAATTTTAATTCAATGTTAAATAAAATGTTTGATTCAATAGTTATATTAAAATATAAATGATTGGTTTAATTGGTTGATTAGTTTTTTAATTGAAATCTCTCTCTCTCTCTCTCTCTCTCTCTCTCATCACTCACTCACTTCTAAGAAAGTTTATCTTTTGATCAGAAGATGTTTGAATTGTCTTTCTTTTTAATTACAATGCATGAAATGATTGATAGTTTTTGAAATGAATTTTGAAAGCAGGGTGTATTTAATGAGAAATGAATTATAATGAATGGTACAGTAATAGGGATTTGTATTTGAAAAACAATTTCCAAATATAGTAAATACTTCACTAATTAAACACTCAATTCATTCTGTAATCTCGTGTTTCATGCGAATAGTTAGCATTTGAGACACAAATTGTTTTTTATAACAAGCGTTCAATTGCGTCAAACAATCATTTTTATATACAATTAAATAACAAAATAGTTGGCATTTTTTGGTATCATTTTTATGATACTCATCCTCATGACCCTGCCATCCGTTTTCGCACCTAAAGTACAAATACAGGACTTATAAACAGCTTTTTACGACTAATTATTGGCAATTATGACATTGAATGCGATAATGGATGTATAAAAAGTTATTAAAAGTTATAAATTATAGCCAAATACTGGCAATCACTTCATGAGATTCATTGAACGCATCTATGGATTCGTGTTATTATTTCAATGATCTTATAGTTTAACATATCGTGTGATAAGAGAAGTCAAGTCTTTCATACTTGAACTTTGTTTCAGAGATCCTTCTCATGAAATATCATTTATTCAATTGATTTGTGATTCATTGAGACGTCAATTCATTTGCTAATAAAATAAACAAAATATAAATACATTTACTAATAAATTTAACAAATACTCCGTATATTGAAGTTAATTGACTTTAAAGTGACAATAAATCTCTTGTTTTGAACAAAAAAGTGTTTTTAAAATAATTTTATAACAATTTTATTAAAGCTATGAATATTTTATACATAATTGGTCTGAGTTTTACTCTTGTGTTTAATTCCAATGGATTTGACATCAAATCAATTGGTGACAGAATTTCAGAGCTGACAAGTGGTAAGAAATATTAAATCATTGATAATAATAAGCAAATTATTTGTGTCATTGTATGCAAACTTTGTTGAAACAGAGTTAGGAATAAGTGATTTGGGAAACGATGAGAAGGAGAGAGTGGTATCCGAAGTGTGTTCCCAGAAATGTACGAAAGAGATACAGGAGCTCAAGAAGAATATGACCGAACTTTATACGGCTTTTCTGGTTCTTCACGCCGAGTTCGCCCACATTAACCAACACATGATATTCCACGAGAAAGCTCTGAAACATATCGCTCTTATGGACCATAAACCCAAACCTTGTTCTAATCATCACAACAGTGACCACAACTTCAGATCTGATGACCAGATGAGTAATGGAACCGAGAGTTCAGTGAACAAGAATTTGACACAAGAGTTGGACTCTAAGGCAGGCCATCACCACAAGCATAATCATGGTTCACATAGCGGTCACCATCAGCACCATAATCATCACAATCACAAGCATAACAAACCTTCTGTTATTCCTCAAAATCCTGACATCAAAGACAATCCAATTAAAGATAATTCAAAGAAGAAAGAGAGTTCTGAAGAGTCTTCGGAAGAGTCATCAGAAGATCAAAGAGTCATCAAAAAGCCTTCAGTGGAACCAATTGTCGACAATTCAAACCTTAAATTAAACATTAGTATTGCTAACAATATTTCCGCGACATTAAGCCCTGAAGAATTAAATTCTACTAAAGATTCTTCAAATTCTTCAGCAAATGGTTTAGAGACAGAATTCAAGCAATGGTTCGACAATATGCTGAACGATATCCACCACAACCACAACGATATCAACGAGAGAATTGTTGGCCAATCCAGTAATCGATTAAAATTTTACAGACATTTAGATGACTTCAGAGATAACCAGAAGAATGCAGATGAAATGGAAAATGCATTAAATACTGAAGATTTAATTTTCGCAAAGTGTGATATGAGACCTAATCGACACATTGCTCTTCTTAACCAACAGGACATCGAGGGATCAATTCATATGTGGCAACAAAGACATAATAGAGGACCGCTTCATATGCATATCAAACTCAAGGGTTTCAAAGTAGGCAATCATATGCACCACAATCATAACCCAGACAATCATCAAAGTCATAGCGGTTCTAGAAGTAAACGGGAATCCAATTTAATGCCCGTTGAGGTTGAGCCCGAAGATACTACTGGTCCACCTGTGGGCACCTCCCATAGTCACGGCTTTCATGTTCACGAATCTGGAAATCTGTCGCGCGATTGTCAATCAGTAGGCAATCATTATAATCCGTTAAACTTAACTCATGGCGGGCCGTATGATGTGATCAGACATGTGGGTGACTTAGGGAACATCCGTTGCGACCGAAACGGGGAAATGGATTTGGAATTAATCTACAGTCAGGTCTCGCTGTCCGGAGACTATAGTATTATCAACAGATCTCTTGTGGTAATTATTTTGCTAATAGGTTTTATTCATTGTAATCTATTTTATAACTTGTTTATACAATACTGTATGAAAGCATAACTTATGCAATCATTAGCTAATAACTTAGTTTCAAATTCATTTGTCAGATCCACCACAAACCCGATGATTACGGCCGAAACCCTAACAACCCTTCGAGTTCATCGACGGGCAGTTCCGGTGTAAGGATAGCCTGCTGTCTCATAGAAGAGGTCAACCAATTGCCTAAAGAGGATGACAGTCAGAGCACCATAGGATCAATCGCGGGACCGGCAGTTGTCACCAGTAAAAGGAGACGCGAGACACGCAGACATCGGGTATATCACAACCAAAACCATTTCGACGACAACTCAGATTTGAGCGAAATATTGAAAATGATTTCAAACTACGAGAATGACATCAAACACAGACACAAACACCGGTTTCCACATTAGACTCGACGGTGATAATCAACACAACGACTGCTATATTCAGATTAAATGCACATTTTATTGTTTTAAAGATTTATTTATTTTGTGCTCTTTAGTAAAATTTCTATAAAATAAGAAACTTTTCTTTTAATAAATAAGAAATACATTTTAAAATTTTGTAAAACAGCGTAAAACAAAAGCTATCAGTTTAGACATACAATACAATTTTTATTTGGTTCATTAAAAGAATTGCGAAACAAAAAATTGATTTAAAATTTAAATTTAATTAATCAGTGTAAGTCATACTCAATATGAATGGACAGTCAATGCGTGTTTAGTACTTAATGAGTCAGTAATTAATTAAAAGTGTAAACAAAAAAAGAGGAGAAAAACTACACGAAAAAAATGATACAAATATATTGATTTCGGTTTTCCATTATAACAATCGATTGATTCAATTACCAAAGAATGAGAGGAATTAGAAGAGCTCTTAGAGAATGGTGTGTCCGCCGGAACCGGACGGGAGAGACATAAAAGTAGTTATCAATAGTTTCAGTTCACTTGAATTATCGGATAAAATGTTTGATTAAATTCAATGCAAAATAAAAACACTTCAAATATATATTAATGGAGAAAAAACCAAATGTTTTAATGGATTATAATATCAGCGCCTCGTCTGACCACGTGATGAGAGAGCACACGGGTGTCCAGCTGTCCGTCCCATTAGAACCGGGACCTGATATAGACGGCCGCCACGTCGTGCTCGCTGTAACCCAAATGTTTCGCGTGTTTGAACACCTCGTTAGTGGAAGCGGTGATAGGGATCGGGTGCTCGTAAACCTCGGCCAACTGTAGCGCCAATCGTAAGTCCTTTTGCATGTGAGTCAACGGCATTTCGGTCGCGAAGCCGCCGTCGATCATAGACTTACCCTTCGATATCAGGGTCTGACAGTTGAGTGGCGACAGCGACAGGATCTCCAATAAATCTTTTTGTGATAAACTGGTCCTATCGGCCAACGCCATGCTCTCGGCCAGCGATCCGATCAGATTCCCGATGAGCATCGAGACCACTAAATTCATTTTGGAGGCGTCGCCCACCTGTCCGCCCAAATAGAAGGCGTGTTTACTGATCGCTTGGAAACATGAGTTGCATTCGTCGAACAGCGACTTATCGCCGGCCACTATGACCGTCAGATTTCCCTCTTCGGCCTGGAGTTTACCGCTTCCGATGAGAGGCGCCTCGAGATAACGGCCCCCTCTCGCCAAAATCGCTTCCGAGATGTCATTACTCGTGTCGGCGTCGATGGTTGTCATCTCGACGTAGCCTTTGGTCGACCGGATCTCCGCTAATATACCGCAATTGCCGAACACTATCTCTTTGACGGCGTGCGGATCAGCCAAACACGAGAATATGATATCAGAGGCGGCGACCACATCAGCCGGAGTGGTAGCCTTCACGGCGCCCGCCTTCACGAAGTCTTTGCATTTGCTGGGCGTTCGGTTCCATATGGTGACCGTATGGCCAGAATTCAGCAAATTCTTCAGCAGTCTTTGACCCATTAATCCGAGACCAATGAACCCGAACTTCAAACTCGACGGTTGAATGGTCTTAGACTTGGCTGATATGGCCTTCATATCCACTTCGGGCTGATCGTTGACGGCTGTGCTGTTGGAGTCCAACAGGTATTGTGAGGTTCGCGCCAATAGATTACGAGCGGCCGCTTTGGCCGGCGATTTGGTCGCCGCCGTGTTGTTCACGTTCTCCTCTATGGAGGCGCTCTTCGACCTCTTCGCCGGCGGCAGCGGTAGGTCGTCGTCGTTGGCGGCCGGCGTCGAGGCCTTTGATTTACCCGCCTTTGACTTCCCGAATGGTGTGCGGCTGTAGTCTCGTTGACTGCCCGTCGAGGGAGTGCTAGCGGCCGAAGCGTTGGTCGCGTTTGCCTTCTTGTCCTCTCCGTCAGCCTTATTGCCCGTAAAGATGGTCGCAATCTCCTCGTCAATTGACGGCAACTTCAGACCTATAAGTGGTAAATAAATATGAGTTAATCACTGATTTGTATTCAGTGTTAAGACAATTGGTGTCCAAAAAAAGCGACGAAAACAGCAAAACAAAACTCAAAACAAATAATTGCAAACAAACGGTGCGTTTCGGAGGGCAGTCATCAAAACAAAAATTATTGCAAACCTTTGTCTTCAGCACCGGGTCCTCCGCCACCAACACCACCATTGTCTGCACTCTTATCACTGGACACAGTGTTGGGAGTAGTCTTACGACTGTGTGAACCGATACCTGAATTGGGTGTCTGCTCGCCGGTCACCGACACGTCTCCCGTTCTGATGAACTCATCGATCTTCTCGATGGCCTCTTTGAAAGCGTGACTTTTGTTGAGTTTGCAGTTCTGCTCCTTGAACTCGGCGTACGGTTTGATGGCGTCCTCTTGGATCCAACCGAAGTTGTTTGAGCCGAAGAAGTAGACGCACTGAATGGACTTCTGGCGCAGATTACCCGGCGGTTTGGGACTCCGGAGGTTGGCCTGCGAGCCGTCCACTATCTTCCCGGGCCAGGGGCTGAAGCCCTTCATCTTAGCCCAGACGAGGTCTCCGATGGCGAACTTTGGGCCACCGCTGGACGACATCTTCGCGTCTCTCTCAGTGTCTCACGAGTCTTGTCGTGTCGTTTGGGTCTTCAGTTGTGGTGATGGTATGCGTTCACCACTGCCTGTGCGTCAGTCTAGGGTTCAACGGATGGCTCGTATCGCGTCCACCGATGAGGGCTCGTGAGTGTCGTCGCGGATCAGATGGTATGGTATGCGCGGCGAAGATATGATGTTTTGGCGGAACAATGGATATGAAAGTCAAACCAAAATGGATGTCACAGAAAGTGCCGCCACTGGGCACCGGCCTTAGCATTACGTGCCATACACTACGTCCACCACCACTGC